CGCACTGGAATGTAAGCCGGCCGACTCCCTGCGTTCAGGTGCGGGAGGGGGTGTGGAGCTGTATTGAAGTCAATGGCATCGCCCACATTGCGATCGCCCGCACTCGGATTGCAGGCACATTAGTGCCTGCATTCCGGTCCAGTGCGATCTGCAAAAATAGTGCTCGCAGCATTTTTGCGGATCGCACTGGACTGGAACACAGGCACTAATGCACGCGATCGCACTGTGGGCCAGGGGCCTGCCTGCGGAGCCTGGCTGCGGTGCCATTGACTTCAATGCACCGCCACGCCCCCTCCCGCCCCTGAATGCAGGTGTTTTTTCGTTGGTAGATCTCAATGAGCTCGTCATTTTAAAAGTAGATCTCCAGACGAAAAACAGTGGGTGCACCTGACTTAGGGTAATGATTAGAGAACAGAAATCAGAGAGTATTTTAAATTTTAGCTCCACCAAAGATAAAAGTAATGCAAAATAACTTCAACAAAATTGTAATTTTAAAGTAAGTATATTTAAAAACACACCCATTCACTTCACCCCTTCAGGCTAGGTGCACACTTAGGCAATTGCGCTGGTGAGCTGTTTTCGTGCGTTTGTCGCACATTTTTGTTTAGGTGATTATGCTTTGAAAACCCTGCTGTTTTCAATGTATATAGATGTCTATGAGACCCATACTGCGCGACAACCGCCCAAAGATAGCTCCTGAACCTTTTTCCTCGACAGGCGTTATCTAATGCATGACAAATTGCAAAGATGTGAACTGTTTTCAATAGCCTTGAATGGAAATCTATGTGTTGTGCGATATTGTACGGCTAAATCTGCGTGATAAATCGCTTAGGTCTGAACCTAGCCTTAATCTTTTGCTTCTTTGCCAAGGCCTAAATCATGGCATTGGTAGCAAGCAATGTATACAAGTAACTGTTTCTAATAGATTAGGTCAGTTTCACATCCTTAACAGTCTCTCATCTGCTAAAGTTTATCTAATTCAAAAGGATAATGAGCACTAGACATGCTGTGAATTCTACAACACATTGAGAGAAAATGAAGTAGACAATCTATATAGTAGGCTACATGTTAGCTGATCTTGCGGCTCTGGTGATCTTTGACAGCTTTCTCCGTAAACAAAACTTGGCAACTATAAGATTTAACTGTTCTGAGTACAAATATAACAAACCATTTTTACAATTCTCTATTAAAAATGTATTTATGACCTATATTAGAGCAAAATACTATTGTAACCAGCTACATGTAACTCAGATTCATTTAGTCTAGACTAATTGGGGTTAGGGTAATTTACTAAAGGAGTAGAGCATGTTAATTTTGCAAAGTGAATTTTCATATGATTGCATGATGGAAACCAGCAGAGCTTCACATCATTCTCTAAACTAACAAAAATGTCCCTTTCAAAGTGAAAAATCACTTGCCCATTCACACCAATTGTGGTGCGTTCCAGAGCATGCAGCACTTTTTGCATTTGTAGTAGACCGGATCGCGGGCAATGTTTTGCCACCCGTCCAATCGCACTACGGGGGGCAGGGGGCACACGTGGCTGTGGTGCCATTGACTTCAATGCACCGTTACACCCCCTCCCACCCCAGAATGACCCTTCATTTTGTGAGTGATTGCTGTCCAGCAGCTGCCACTCTGGAAAGCACCACAATTGGTGTGAATGGACCCTAAGTGAAAAGCATATTTGCCTTTAGTAAAATAGCTCAAGGTATTACAAGGTGGTCTAAATACTAATTTTAATATTCGTACATGTGGACCCTTAAACAATCTACTAACACTCTAATAGTTAACCCACTATATTCAGTATCCAGCAATCATACAAATATTGATAGATTTTGGCAAAGAATGATTTGTACAACAGAATGATAATGTCCTCTAGACCCAAATACGTCATCAATCAGTCTACATAATATGTTGTATGAGACTGAATTAACATTGATCACCTATGATTGAATCAACCCCACTCCCCCTTGGCTTCACTATACGTTACCTCCTCTCAGTAAGGGCATTGCGACTGAAATGTAAAATTATCTGGTGAAGAGGATCTGGATTTTTCTCTGTCTCCTCCTCTTCGTCTTCATCTTTCCTTTTGGGTTTCTAGAAGATGGTAACAACAATCAATTATCACCATGGATTAGTAGTTCACTGTAAGAATCAACATAATTACTGGCAGGCTTGTAAAGTGTTCGGTAGTAAGATTGAGTCCTATGTTTTAGCATCTTTTCGACAGACTTCAGTTTTCTATTGAGCACTGGCTTGTAGGTGCCACTAATATATATATATACATAAACACACAAACATATACACAAACACACACACATATACATAAACACACAAACATATATACAAACACACACACACATATACACACACACAAATAGTTGAGTTTGAAAGGCAGTGCTCTAAATAATATTGTATACAAAACATAGGGCACAATAAAGTACATATGAGAAACAGCGGAAGCCTGTCAGTAGTCCATCATTTTGTGAAGAATGTGGACTCAGCCATGCTGAATTATAAAATAGGTTTAGTGAAATTACACAGTTAAATGAAAACCAACAAATCTATAACATAACAGGATTCTGCTTCAGGAGTTCTTTTATAGATATGTGTATTCCATGGGCAAGGCAATCAAACTAATTGTGCAGCTTGGAAATTAAGGTGGCTGAGTTAATTCAAGAGGACTCCTTATGAAAACCAGTGTATAGATAAAGATTGAGCAGCAACCAGCTGAGAACTTACTTTTTAAATTTTTTTTTAAACTGCCCTAAAAAGTAGATGGAATCTGACTCCAGATTTGGCACTTGTTTTTATATATGTGCACTAGTTTTCATAATTGTCCCTTTAAATCTTTACTTCTTGCTGCTTAAAGAATGGATACGTGCACCTATAGGTGGTAGTAGCAGTTTCCAGGCCATCAGACATCTTTCTTTAAGCTATCAGTTATTGTGAAAAATACAGTATGATTGGAAAAGATTATATTCTGGTATTTAAAGATTGACCAATATGATTGCAACAAACAGTTTTTGCGATGATCAAAAAATATGAACATCCATTTTGGTAGCTGCAGTGATTATAAACAAGGGCCAAGAGCCACAGGAATACCATGCAATAGATATATTACAGTCAATTAGAAAAGTGCCTTTTTCATGAACATGTTTAATAGTTATAGAGTATTACTAATTAGCAGAAATATGTTATTTTGTGCAATAAAAATACTCATATTGAGTTTTTATATTGATGAGTTACTTTAAAAAAAAAATGTACATAAAAGTCTCAAGAGGAGCCCAGGTCATGCTGTCTTGCTGTTACATATCCACTGGCATAGCCTGAGAGAGGTGCATGATGGGATGGAAAATGTGAATTCTGCTGCTCTGGAAGTAAGATGCGACTACTTGATTAAATGCTATTTTGGGTCGAGCTCTCTGTGTACTGAAACTTGCAGTATGTGGCTATCCTGCTGAAAACAATACAAATATAAAATCATTTTAAGGTGGATTTGAAACCAACTTGAATGTTTTCATTTTGTTCTTACACCTTAAGGGACTGGTATGTTTTTGTGAGCATGCAGGACATGCAAGGGAGTGCACTGGGGAGGTTTATGTAGGGAGAAAATGGGGATGGATAATGATTAGGGCAACAACATGTTATGAGGATGTGAAAAGTAAAGGATTATATGCTGTATTCAAATGAGTTGGCTTCACCTCTGGGTTTCCTATTAATACATTTTTCAAGTGAAGACAAATCAGGGATAAAGCCAACTGCTTAAAATACATACAAGAAACCAGTCATACTGGCAGAGCTGAAAACAGAAACATGAAAACAGAAAAGAAAAAGATAACAGGTCAGAAAAAAGTACTAAAGAATAGAAACCAAAATAGAAATGGCAGCAGTTATATTAAGTCTGCACATACAATTTGAACACTACAGGAAGTTGCATCTTACACAGCTTTTAAACACTAGCATTTGTGAAGAATGTGAACCTGTCACTGTAGTTCTCTGAGAAGGAAAAATGCTAAAATGGACTGTTTAACGAGTGGAATGGTACAGTTTGATTTCCAGTCTATTTTTACCCACATGCTCAAATACTCTATATCTTATTAGATAAATGGTGCTTTTCATTACTGAGCTACAAAAAGACAGAAACACAAAATCTAAGCCACACAATAAATCAGTTTTTTAAATGGAGAATATGGTTGCTTTTTAACCAAAAAGATTGAGATTGTACATAAACTGCCCTTTTTTATCCTCATTGGACTTAAGTATAAAACTGATATTATAAGGAACTGTTTAAGTCTGAACTGGAAATGTATAATGGAGAAAGAAAGTTTAGATTTGACTGGATACTGTTGGGCAATACAAACAATCCTTAGACATCTAAGATTCATCGGGGTTGATTTACTACAGGTAAATAGGCTGTTCATTTTCCAAAAGTAATTTGCACTTTGCAGGGGAAGTTTCCCCTAAGCTCAGTGAATGTGGTGAAATTCCACTTTGCAATGAATACTCAATCATCATCAATAAAAAAAAAAAACCCAAAAGACAAACAAAAAAACAAACCACAGTATGTTGCTTGCACAAGACTGGATGATGTAAGTCAGCAGAGCTTCTCCTCATTCACTAAATTAGGGGGAAACTTAATCTGCAAAGTGCAAATACCCTTGCAAAGCGAACAACCTTTTTACCTTTAGTAAATCAACTCCATAGTGAGGTCTGTGATCTCAGCCTTCTTCATAAGCTGTATGCCCCAACAAAATACAGCTGCGTTTTCAGTGATTGTGTACATGGTGAAATTCATATTTTTGATAATGTTTGATGATCCCCACCTGTTTTTTTAGTACCTACTCAACAAACAATCCTGCCACTAAACAGAACTATGTTTGCTAAAATAATCTAAAATTTATAGGGGACCTTCTACCTAGGCCTAGAACGAAACAAAAACACTGATGTGATGGTTAAGAAATTCTGCAACTCTCCTCCCAAAACTGATGATACAACATAAGAAAATTGTGTCGAGTTCTGCTTTACATTTTTATTTCAAACTCCTGCTTCTGTTTTTGCTGTTTCAATTATTTTTTATAATCCATTTTTGGTAAAAGTAAATGAAAGCAAATAAGTGCAGCACATGCTTGTCTTTTGCAGGGGTTTGTGTATACATGTAAATTAAACTCCAGAGGATTTCATAGTACTTCTTTTACCATGGCACTGATCATGAGGGAGTGATGTAGGGTTTTTAAATTCACGAGTGTACTACTACAAACAAGAAAAGCTTTACTGAATGAGATTTTAAACAACATAACACAGTAATCACGGTTTTATCAGTCTGGCACAGACAGTTATAGCATACAAAGATTCAATTTATACTAACTAGCTGTCAAATATATTAATCAATATAAACTAAAAACAAGGGAGCTATGTAACAGTTACACAGCTTGATATTTCCAAATGAATGTCCATCAATGACAATGGTATGCAATTTAATAATTCTAAAAACAAATTCATGTATGGAGCAGGAACAATTTTTCTAAGGAATCTGTTACTTTGGACGGATTCCTCAGATTCATTACGCAGCTATTTTTTTTACATGCAATGCATTTTATCTTGCATTACCTTAAATGATCTTGAGATTTAAAGTAAACCTGCAGGACAAAGTGCCAGATTTTCCGTACTTCCCAACTGCACATTTCTTTCAAACATCTTGTACTTTTGAGTATGGAGGAGCATCTGACTCACTTCTCTTCCTCTCATGTGACAGCAATGGTCTTTGATGACATGCCCAGCATTGTCACATGGGGGGCAGTGAGTCCTCAGACTTGTGTAAGCTCCATGTAGAGCAACACAAAGCTTACACAAGGCTACCTTTTATCTCTGCTAGCAGCTAAACAGACTGTGAAAAAATGATAGAAGGGTGGGTGTGTGCTACTGGAGGAGAAAAAGTTAATGGGATATATATATTGCTTGCCACAGGTATGCTTTAAAGTGTATTTTTACAACCAAATTGGGATAACCCCTATTTTATATGTGTTACATGTTTTTCATTCACAAAGTTTGTCAATGAAAAACTTTTTTCTTTAAAAATTGCTGCTTGCACAATACATGCTATATCCTGAAAGAAAGTTGTTCTCTGTACTAAGTTGTGCTCTGGAACGAAAGGGGGCTGGCAAGTTAATGTTAACATATTTACTATACTGTGTTGGCAGATCTCATTTACAGTTGTAAGCTATATTTAATCCATTCGCTGCCAAGCCCTCCGGAACACTTAACCTCATCTGGCCACACCATTTTTGCAATTGTTCCTATTGTTTTGATTTCGCTAGCATTTGTAAAAGACCCCCCAAACCATATATTTTTTTAAAGCACAGGTCCGGTAGAATAAAAAAGATGGCGCTACTAATTTTGTAGGTCCTATAAAAATTGCGTAAATGTTTGTCAAATCAATATTAAACCAATATAAAAATACATAATTACATTAATAAGAGCAAACTAAAATCAGTATCAGTGCACAAAAAAAAAAAAATTTCATACTAAATCTAAAAGATAAAACTGTATTGAGTTAATAAATAACGTATTCCTTATACGTTATTTTTCTTAGTTTTGGATAAAATAAGAAAAGGTTAGAAGCCCTGTCAGGCTTTACTTCTATCCCGGGCTCCGTTAGTGGATTTCCGCTCACTTCCTGTTCTTGGAACGTTTTACCAGCCACAAAGTGAGGGGAAATTTGCAACAGGGAAAAAAGCTAACAGAGGTTATAGCATTCCCCTACTTACCTTAAAAACATTTTTGCTGTTAGAGAGATTTTCCCTCACTTCCTGTCCTGGGGACAACCTTTATAACAGACAGGAAGTTAAAGTTAATCCAACAGTCCCTCCAGCTCCAGTAAAAACAGGAGTTCTAATCCTTCCCCACTCTATCTAACTCTTAAAAAAAAAAAAAAGGTCTGGGCTATAGATACACTTTAATGAAGAACATTGTCAACAAAATACTTTACTCAAAGCTTAGCTTGCATGTGCTTGAAAAGGTTGTGAGATATTAAGTATGTGCAAGGTCAAAGCATCTTTCTTCGTTTTGGATAATGTGTGAACATATTAAAACTCCTC